ATAAAAAATTCACATTTTATATAAGTTTAAATCACAATAATATAGAAAATGTCACTTTTTATACCTACACATTAAGAGTAGCTTCTTATTAGTACACATGATGACACTTAAACTCTCTTTGAATCTATAGACAAAGATATGATTTCCGTATTCGTCTCCTTCCTCCTCTAATATAATTAATAACAAAACACTACAAAGAAGCACAATCTAAAAAATAAAAGAAATTGATTATTTATCAAAATAAATATCACTAATAATAATACTCGAGAAATGGCAAAATAACTAAAAACAAACAGATAGAATATTTGCACATTGATGCATAAGAGAGCTATATACTATTAGACATACCTTAATCTCTTGTGAATCAAAACAAAAGTATAGAGAAATTGAAAATCTCAAGGAAGAAGCTGAAATATTCAAATCTAAAGACAAGAACTACGACGACAATTAAAAAACTATTGAATCATTAAAGCTATCGACGAATCACACAACACCTCTAAAATCGCTTACCACCTTTGGCGAAGCACTATTGTTTCCACTGCATATAACCAAGAGCGTCGCTAATGACAATCACACGTGACACTCAATTCAAGCTCTTAACCATTGCAGAATCGACTCCCTTTTTATGGAAAATGAAACCTTAACCAATAGATGATATGACATTTGATAACCCCTGCACTCTTACCTTACCCAAAGTTTACAAGTTTCTTTTCTTTTAGGTTTTCTTACTTTTCCTATTTTTTGTAAAATTATATTTACAAGTATCAATGGATACTCGTGAGTTCTAACAAATTTACGAATATTTTTTAAACGAGTATCTGAATGATAAGGAATATATTTTTTTTACTACAATTAGGTAATATGAAGTTGTTATCCATGTTCACTCTAACTAATTGTTATTCCTAAATGTGACATTATAGAGAAAACGTAAAAAATGATTGTGGAAGTAACCCAATGAAAAGATAATGGAGGTGCAAAAATCACTCCACACATATATAACAAACACGACATAGAACGATAAAGAATATAACAAAACAAGTAACAAACATATCATATCATAAATAACAACATAAAAAAAGGTAATAATAATGAGAATATGTTAAATATACAATGGGTAAAATTCAAATTTTGAAATTCAAATATCCCTAACTGTGTGTTTTTGGGCATGCACCCACTTTTAGCAAATTCATACATTTTTTTAGGACCAGGCACACAACAAATCTTCATAATTCTAATATGTAGCAAAATCTCCATGTTTTTTTGGTTTCTTAGAACACTACTGCTTTTGGGGAAGGGTATATTTGTACTGTGCCGCTTTGGATGGGTGTGTGTGCACAACTTTGAAAATCTAAGATTGCATAGTTCATTCAATGGAATGTCAAAGAGCAATTAAAGTTTTTGTTTTTCCTTAATATGCTAGGTCTAAATACTCAGCTTCAACATCTAATTTTGCATAGCTAATTTAATTTAACGTGCAAGAACAATCCCAACTTCTTTTTATTCCTCTTTTGAACAATCTTAAATTGAATTAAACTTTTTTTGGATTTTAAAATCGATCAGTAGTCTTTAATACCTTTGAGTAATTTAAACATTATTATCGGTTTTATCTAAAGTATAATATTTTTAACACCTTTTCAGTCAAAGAAATCATGTGGGCAAAGTTTTAATATATGTGACCTAAAAAGGTAGGTATTTTAAGATACGAAGGAAGTTGATTTCTATCTACTGTTTTATTAAAAACATAAATATGTCTAATTTAAAAATTAATTACTACACACATTGCATTCATGTTACATGAAGCAATCATATATAACTAGCAAGTGAAGTTATTAGATGACTAACTTTGGTGAATATAATAGTTAAAATTAAATTTGGTAAAACAATTTTTAAGACATATTTCCTTATATATTTTATTTAATCATTAATTCACACAGCCCGTACACATATAAGAAAAACACATTATATATATATATATATATAATTATATATATATATATATATAGTTATAATGAATTAATCAAGTTGTAAAGTCTATAATTAGTAAATATAAATGTTTATTTCTGAAAATATATAATAAAAGAGAGAAAAATGAAGGAATGATATTTTTTATTGTCACCGGAGTTAAAGTGAAAAATAATAAATCATAAACTCTGAAAATAATCAACATAGTAAGATATTTAAACATACATTTTTCAGTTGTATATATTTTCTTGTAAAATTAATAATAATAATAATTCCATACAAATTGTGTCGTTATAGTGTAGTTTTAGTATTATTATACCAAATTAAGATATACACATGTATTTGTTACTCCAAAGACAGCATAACATTGCTTTGAGAGTAATTTATTTATTTTTACAAAACTAGGAGAGCAATTTTATAACATAATTACAATCTATCAACATTTTTCAACACAAGAATACATTATACATCGCCCACCACTTTTGTTAACCATTATTGTCAAATTTATTTTCTTAAATGATTGAGACGTTAATATTTTAAGAAGTTGCATTGTGTTGTGTTATTGAACGTGCAGTTACTTTTAACATTTTGATAATTCATTTACATTTTTAAAAATTATAATAAAAANAAATTAGTAAATATAAATGTTTATTTCTGAAAATATATAATAAAAGAGAGAAAAATGAAGGAATGATATTTTTTATTGTCACCGGAGTTAAAGTGAAAAATAATAAATCATAAATTCTGAAAATAATCAACATAGTAAGATATTTAAACATACATTTTTCAGTTGTATATATTTTCTTGTAAAATTAATAATAATAATTATTCCATACAAATTGTGTCGTTATAGTGTAGTTTTAGTATTATTATACCAAATTAAGATATACACATGTATTTGTTACTCCAAAGACATCATAACATTGCTTTGAGAGTAATTTATTTATTTTTACAAAACTAGGAGAGCAATTTTATAACATAATTACAATCTATCAACATTTTTCAACACAAGAATACATTATACATCGCCCACCACTTTTGTTAACCATTATTGTCAAATTTATTTTCTTAAATGATTGAGACGTTAATATTTTAAGAAGTTGCATTGTGTTGTGTTATTGAACGTGCAGTTACTTTTAACATTTTGATAATTCATTTACATTTTTAAAAATTATAATAAAAAGTAAGATAATAATATGAATTGTGTATAACAAATAAGATAATCCTTTACCTTTATATACGGTTAAAAATTGGACACTTTATTTTCATTTTTTAATTTTAAAATATTTAAAGATAAAACAATAATATGAAAAATGAGAATATAGGTAAAATCGATATTTGACGTTACATTAATTTTTGTTTAGCATAATGAATGGTTTTAAGGGAAGTCAACTTCCACGTGTAAAATATTTTTCATTAATTAAAATATGCAGAGAAAAGCATTTAATGTCTAAAGCAACATAGATGTGAATGAACATACATGTATGTCATGCATTCATCCGTGAAGCTAATTCACCATATAAGTATGCATGGATTTAATTTTTATTGAAACATAATAAGGACTACACGCACTTCTAACATTGTAGATGAGTTTTCATTTAATGCTTTATCTTCTCTTCAACTTGCGCTGAGGCCACACTATACAATTAAATTCATGACATCTTTTTATTATAATATGTTTTTTTACTATATATAGACATATAAATTTTATTTTAATGGAAGAAAAAGTTTAATCACAGTAAAGTCACAACTTATAACGTCTTTTAAATCTTGAAAAATGCTTATTATTAGAGGGGATTTTTTTCCACTATTTAGTTCTTGTATATTTTTAGATTAATTCATAGTAAATAAAATGTTTTTTAGTTATTTTTATTGGCAGTGAAATGACCCTGATCTATACCTATAGGGGGTTTTAATTTCAAACAAATTGAATGAGTGATTTTCAATAACAAGCTCACCCACAAGCCGAACTAAGCATTTATTGGGTTAGCATGTTCACATAAATAATGCCGCAACGTCTTGACTAATGACAGGTATGACAACAGTGACGTTATCATCCTCCAACATGTTAAACTCACCCTAATTTTCTCACTAAACACTGTTTCCAATAATCACTTACTCTCACATGCAACTTGGTTTCGTGATATTCTATTGCAGCGAATAACACACGCACACAGTAGCTGGCACACTGGGAAACGAAATCTGTTTGTTAATGTTTTCGGTGCATCACGGAAAAATTATTGCCCTCCCCGTTTGAGAAAATTACCATTTGGAGAATTAAACAAAAGAATGTAGATAAATGGGAAAGCTAGTGGCAAAGCGGAACAAGTAATCTTGCCTTCTTTTTCACCCAACATCCACTTTGTGCCTCAAGAATAAAAACAAGCCTAACTTTCCTTTCTTAAATCGGAGGCAAAAAGTAGTTTTCGTAAAGAAAATGAATTATTTTTTTCAGAAACTTGTAAAAAAATTTTTAAATGGAAAAGATTATTAATAAACTAATAAATTAATAAATAATAAAAATTTAAGATATTTAGGCGTGTTTTGAGCGTTGAAGAAAATAACCAAGTGGCTCCCACTTTGGTGGCCTCACCACGGCCTCCCACTAACCACGTGGTGCTCGAGAAAACACAAATCGCGTACTCAAAAGAGTCGCTTTGACGATTCTCAACTTTGAATTTCACTAGATGAAAAATTGAAAACATGTAGAAAAGCAAAAACCAACAAACAAAGAAGAAAGAGAGAGAGAAAGAAGGAGTAAGAGGAGCTTCCACATTCAACCAATCCGCGGCGAGCATGTCATCTACCTTCTGCTCACTGAGAGGTCAGAGTTCCACATACTCTCTCTCTTGCAATCGGGATCTCTCCGCTTTTTGACACGAATTTACCAACAAAACATACAGTGCCTTGTTACATCTGCGTCTGCACTCCACTTCCCTATCCATGTTAGGGTTTTCTATCTCCCACGCTTCTCTCCCTATGTTTCGGAATTATTGATTTTCTTCCTTCGATTAGATTCGATTCGATTTCTGCTAGCTATGGAGCAGCCGCTTCAACCGCAGCCGGACGCTGCGGCAAACACGGCTCGGGGTTTGGAGGACTCCCGCCTGGTGGGAGCCACTGTCGTGCCTGCTGGCTATGCTGATGTGGCCGAAAAAGATGTTAATAGTAGCGTGTCGAATTCGGAGGTTACGGTCGTCGAAGGCGCCGTTTTGAAACGGAACGTGGTCGTCCGGCCAAGGGAGCTCCGAAAGTGGTGCCTATCGTGAGACAAAAGAGACGAGGAGGATGTTTGCTTCATTTGCTTCGACGGTGGGAGCCTCGTTCTCTGTGATCGGAGGTGAGTTGTAATTGCCTTTGATTTAGCTGTTGTGGGTTAGATTCTACGTCCACTTGCCTTTTTAGTTTGCAATTAAGGTAGCTCATGCGTTATGATTTTCAATTGTAATCTCTTGTGCCGGTTTCAATATATGTTTATTATTAATTTATCTGTCTTTTCTTTTCCCTTTTAGGGGTTGTCCTAAAGCGTATCATCCCACGTGTATTAAGCGAGACGAAGCGTTTTTTCGATCAAAGGCTAAATGGAATTGCGGTATGTTGTTTCGTTTATTAATTTCCTGCAATTGGATTTACTCAGCCAATGTGTTCTTAATATTGGTTTGATTTCCTATGAACGCGACTTTATATTTGGGTTTTGCTTGATGATTTGGAGTTGCTACTGTGTAGATTACACAGAACCAAATTACTAAAGAGATTACGCAGAATCAACTTAATAACCTCCAATGCTATTCATTTATTATCACCTTAAACTGAGTGTCGTATTTATGGCATTTGACAATTAATGCACACTTGCATACTCTGTTTTTCGGAAGACTATTGCCCTCTATACGTTTTGATTTTAGTATCTAGTTTGCATTACATTTGGACTGTTTTCCGTGTTAACCATTGTTTTTTGTGCCATTCAGGTTTGGCATATATGTAGCGCCTGTGAAAAGGCTTCGCATTATAATGTGCTATACTTGCACGTACTCTTTGTGCAAGGGGTGCACAAAAGACGCTGATTTTGTTTGTGTCCGAGAGAATAAAGGTTTATGCGGAATATGCATGAGGACATAATGCTGATTGAACAGCGTCCAAGGAAATAAGGAAATGGTATGTTAAACTTTCTTATACCATGCTGGATAGCTGGTAACACTAGTAATTTATTTGTGCAGGATTACTTGTGTTAAGTTTATTTTAGTATGATAGGTCGATGTTCCTAATTTTTTTATCGTGTTTACAGTGTGAAGTGGATTCGATGACAAAAGCAGCTGGAGTAATCTTTCAAGGTTATTGGATGTATTTTGAAAGGGAACTTATCTTTAACATTTGATGAGCTCCTACGGGCTAAAAACCCTTGGAAAGCTGTTGCTCCTATGAGTTATAAGGTTCAAAGTCCCCATGAACTTTATCATCTTAGAGATGACAAAGGTTCTGGTTCCGAGAACTCCTGTATAGACATAGAATCAAATAATTTGAAGAACAAAAGACCCAAGAGACAGCCAAAACTTCTTGGCAAGGGTGATTGCCTGGACAGGATGGGTTCAGGTGGTGACAGAGTTATGTCTTTGCCTGAATGCACAAAATGGGCATCGAAGGAGCTACTAGAGTTTGTTTCACATATGAAAAATGGTGATACATCTCTCCTGTCTCAATTTGATGTCCAAACTCTCTTGCTGGAGTATGTGAAGAAAAATAATCTTCGTGATCCTCAACAGATGTCTGAAATTGTTTGTGATTCTAGACTACTAAATTTGTTTGGAAAATCACGAGTCAGCCAAATTGAAATGGTAAAGCTCCTTGAATCCCATTTTCTTTTAAAACACAACGGACCAGCAGAAAATACTTTTGGAGCAGGAATTATTAATGCTGTTGCTAGTGAAGGGGAGGCCATTGACACTCATAGTAAACAGTTGATGTTAGTTAATGACAAGATATGTAAAACACATAAAAATGCCGATGTTCTAGTTCCGCAAAATAAACCCAATGATATGCTGCATAGATGTTCACAATCTTAACTTGATCTACTTGCGGCGATGTCTGATGGAGAATCTGACTGAAGATATTGAAAAGATTCACGAGAAGGTTGTTGGTTCATTTGTGCGGATAAGAATCTCGAGCAGTGATCAAAAAAAGATATGTATAGACTTGTCCAAGTTGTAGGTAAATAAACTTTTATAGCTTCCAATACTCAGTCAATTACCCTTTTGTGAATTGCAAATGACTTGAAATTGGTTTTGGAAAAACTATTTGGGCAGGTACAAGCAAGGTTGCTGAATCATACAAAACTGGGACAAGAACAACTGATTTTAAGCTTGAAATTTTAAACTTAAACAGGAAGGAGGTCATACCCATTGCTGAAATTTCTAATCAGGAGTTCTCTGAGGTGAAAATAGATATTATTTTAAATCATATTACCTTCAAAAAATCTCTAGAATGTGTAGAAGAGTTAAGTTTTTATTCTATGCAAAGTTTGCTGATGGTCAATATATTTATCTCTAGAATGTGAGAAGAGTTAAGTTTATTCTATCAAGTTTGCTGATGTCAATATATTTATTTTACATTCAGGATAATGCACGGGTTTGCGTCAAGTATAAAATAGGGGCTCTCAAAGAGATGATGTGGTTAGTGTGAATTATTTCAATCATAAAGTATGTTGTATTGTTGGTTTTAAGACGATTCTGTGTTGCTGTAGGGAGAGATTCAAACAAGCATAACACTTCAAGCAATTAGAGTTAATGAGTAAGTTTTCTTTTCCTATTTTATTTTTCTGCTACCTATCAAAATGGAGATATGATGTATGATTAATGTTGATTTTTATCATAATAAAAATTCAAAGCATAAAAAAAAGCCTACATATATTTCTTAGGTACCATATTGTATGTCACTTAGGTACGTCTACTAATCTTAGTCTTTTTGAATGGAATAACTTATGTGCGTTAACAATTTCCTGGTGGACTCAATATGTGAATTTAGTGAAATGTTTGGTTGAAATAAAAAATGCTTTTTCTTTAGAGGCACAAAATTCCCCCCTTTTATTGTCAGAGTAATATATATGATAATTGTCATTCTTTAATATCATACCTTTAAAATATGACCAGCCATATCGTTGGCCTTGATTTTAAACATTATGCTCTTTTATTGGTATAGTTGCTGGAAGCTGAGATTTTGCGGCTTAATCATCTTCGTGATAGAGCAAGTGAAAAGGGGCATAGAAAAGAATATCCTTTATGATTTACTACTTTACTCTTTGGTGTTCATTCCTCTCAGTACACTATAGATAATATGATTCTGCAACTATTCATTATCCATTGGTACAATATATGCTTGTTTCACAGTAGTTTATGCACTAAACCACTAGGGGAGCTTAGCTGAATATATGCTAGAATCTTTGGAGTTCTATGGAGGCATAAATGTTATAAAGTAGTTTCCTTGTAAATTTTATGTTTTATTTTGTCTTGTGCATCTACATATTATTGCTGGAATTTCATTTTTATTTTATTTTACTCTATGGTCAAATTTATGTGTGCTTATTTTATAAACGCAGTCATGGGACATACTGCACTGTTTTTTCTTTTAACAAAAAGTTGGACATACAAAAAATATTTGTAAACTAGATTGAAATTTTAACAAAGATGGGTTAAGCAATGAGTTGATAGGTTCTCATTAGTTGTAATGGGCCTCTGTGTGTGTGTGTTCATGGTTGCATGCTCATGTGCCAAAGGCATAATCAACGTTCCTTGACCAAACTGCACGGTTAAAGAATATGAGGAGAAGTTGCAGCTACTGAACTCTCCAGAGGAGCGGCAACGCAGGCTGCAAGAAATTCCAGATGTACACTCTGACCCCAATTTAGATTCAATGTTTGAGTCTGATGAAGATGATGGAGAGTCAGATGAAAGGAAGCAAGGTAGCATTCATTTGCTCCACAGACATTGTTTTCATGTTTCTTTTGGAAGTTGTCCAAACAATGTTTGTCTCATGGTAACGGTAATTATGTATATGCAGATACCAATATATTTTCAAAATATCTTGGGTTTGATAGAAGAGAGAGGGGCTCTTTTTTTCCAAGAATTTCGAACAATGTCTTCAATGATGCGGGAGGCAAAACACAAGACTTGCCTGTTACCCGAGAACATGTTGGGAATATATGTACAGTAAAGAACTGTGACACAGCTATCGAGGATAGCACTAATACGGTTGTGAAATCAGAAGTGTCTAGTGTTGCAGTGGACATTTCACCATCACTTATCCCAGTGGAGATACAGCAGCCACTTAATGAATTTTTGAATGATAGATCATGGAATTATCAAGATCCAACTGGGAAGGTTCAAGGGCCTTTTTCTATGTTGCAGCTGTACAAATGGAATGTAAGTGGAGGTTTCCCTCCAGATCTCAAAATATGGAGGATAGGTGAGAAACAGGATAACTCTATACTGTTAACGGATGCACTAAGTGGGAAGTGTTCCAAAAATGTGTCATTGCCATTCAACAACCCATTGCTCTCTCTTGGGGTCAGTACATTGGATAATAAACATAATGTTCAGGATGCTGGGAAGAATGTAGTGAAGAATGGAATTTCTGCCGATGGGCAAATTATTGAACAGATCAAGGAAAAAATAGTGGATGATACCTCTACCCAGTCTGATGGTAAAGCTGAGCCTGTCAGGAGCAATGGATGGCTTGGGCCGCTGCATTTATACCCTTCACCATTGACAACTGCCATTACTGAGAAAATGAATGAAACGTCTGATAAATTAAGGAAAGATCATGGGATTGTGCGAAACTCTCAAGATAATGGAAATAATGGCTCAAACAGAACAGTTGATGGGCAGAGTAATAGTGGGCAAAGTTATCAGAAGCCATCAGATAGTGAAGAGAATGCAGGGCAATCTTCTGGACAGACCTGGAGACACCCTAATGTTAATATTAATAGCTCTTCGGATTGCCTGGTTGCCACGTCAGCTCATGTTTCGGGCAAAAAAACATCACCTCATAAGCTGGGATTTGATTTGCATAATTCTCCTTCCCCTCCAGCATGTAATACATCATCTGGACAGACCTGGAGACCCCCTCATGTTAATAGCCCTTCCAATTGCTTGGTTACCACGTCAGCTCATGCCTCTGATACAAAAACATCACCACATAAGCTGGGATTTGATTTGCATAATCCTCCCTCCCCTCCTGCATGTAATACATCATCTGGACAGACCTGGAGTCACCCTACTGTAAATAGTTCTTCTGATTGCTTGGTTAACACACCGGCTCATGTTTCTGGTACAAAAACATCACCACATAAGCTGGGCTTTGATTTGCATAATCCTCCTTCCCCTCCAGCTTGTAATACATCTTCTGGACAGACTTGGAGACACTTTGATATAAATATTTCTACCAATTGCTTAGTTACCTCATCAAATCATGTTTCTGGTGTAAAAACATCACCGCATAAGCTGGGATTTGATTTGCATAATCCTCCTTCCCCTCCAACTTGTAATACATCAACATGGCAGGCAATCATTGGCGAGCCCAATGATTTTGATGAATCAGTTTCAGATCTGTTGGCAGAAGTGGAAGCAATGGAGTCACTTGGTGGCTTGGAATCTCCCACTTCAATCATGAAATGTGGCGATGATTTGACTGAAGGTTCTAAAAATGATTGTCTCAGCTTTGTTGCAGACCTTGGCCCAATGCTTGATGCAGGTAAAGGTGATGCACTGAGCTCCACTGGAGATTTAAACTTACCATCTCAACCGACAGCAGCAGAGGAACCATTACGGCAAGCAGATGTACATCACCATCATCAAAGAATTTCTGATGAGCATTCTTCAAGAAGTTCTAAAGTTGAGGTGGGTACAAAAAACACAAGTGTCTCGGGTAATCAATGGGATTCAGGCTCAGAAAATTCACCCGTTGTTCCATCTCCTGCAACCTTGGGCCTGGCTATAGACACCACTTGGAGACTTGGGCTAGATAGTACACCTTTGGGGTGGAGTGGAATAGATCAAGGAAATACAAATGTGGGTTGGGGAGTAGGACAAACAGCAGTGCAGGAAACCAGGAGCTCAAATTCATACACTTCTGTAGTAACTCCAGGTTTTGGGGATAACCAAACAAGATATGGCAGTGATCGTTTTTCTGTGCCTAGAGATCGGGGTTCTCAAGGTCATGCTAGGGAATCGGGTTTTGGTAGAAGCAGAATTGCATTTAACAGGCAACCGTCGTATGGTGTTGGGAATGGAGGCTCATATAGGCCTCTGCCCAAAGGGCAGCGAGTTTGTAAATTTTATGAAAGTGGGTACTGTAAGAAGGGGGCATCCTGTGATTACTGGCACCCATGATTTTAGATACCATTAGCACTGGTGACAGTTGTTTTTTGTAATCCTTAACATATCTGAAGTTGGCTCATTCCAATTGTTGTAATTTAACCTGACAGTATTAGTCAAGTGGCATAATTTTTTTATATGGAACTACTCTTGCTTGATCTATCTCTATTTTTTGTGACTGCTAATTACAAGTTTGTTTGCTTATGTTTTTCTTGTTCATTCAGTTTCTTCCTTTATATATATAATAAAGAGAGAGGATCAAGTTATTCCAAGAGTAATTTTTATTTCTCGTCTCTTCTTTCATTTTATTGTAATTTGCATTACGATAAAATGAAGGATGAATACTCCTTGTGTGTGTGTGTAGAGAGAGAGATAGAGATACCAAATTATTATGATTATATTCTTGAATACGAGCTCTCAATTTTTGTTAACGTGTTTGGATTGTGAAATCGTAATGGCACTAATACACTCTGAGTGTAATTCCTTGCCAATTAAGCCTCTGCGGGAAGCAGGTGAGACCATGGCATTGGAAAATAGCAGAACAAAAAAGGAAAGCAGACTGATATCTGTATATATGGGATCGCATGGTTTACTGCTGTGGCTTTCCTGTTTTGTAAACCCTCCCTTCCCATTTCTAGTAATTGCCTCGTTGAATTAGTGTTTTGTGTCTAAATTACGGCGTTATACTGCCAAGTATTTTTTTATACTTTCGTGCTTAATATCGTTCTTATTTTTATGATATGCTTTCCACGAGCATATCTTTTAAGGGCAACATATGTGAATGTTACAGTTCTTGCAATTACTTTAAGAAGAATTTAGTGATTATTATTCTCAAAAATATGATCAAGAACTTGCTTTGTCTGAAGCTTTTGATACGGCACTACTAGCCCGGAAAATAAAATATTTAAAGTCACTTTGTGAAGTTTAAGGAGTATAGATGATGGCGTTTATTTATATATATATGTGATAAGGTCTGCTTGAAGTTAAATAATTTTATGAAATTTCCATCTTAAAAGACACTGTTTAATCCGTGATATTGTGTATAAAAAATTAGTTATAATCCTTTACTATCTGGTAACTGATAATGATAATTTAAGGTAAGTCTTTTTCTCCAAAAAAAGTAAAACAATTTAGTGCAGTATAGGATTATTCAGTTTATATAAAAAACAACGTAATTTGATTTTCTGAAATTGAAAAAACATTTCAATCTAGAACAATTCTTTTATAGTTTGGATGAGTTCAAATTTGTTTTGTAGACCGTCTTGGCTAAATTTATTTATTAGCAAGGTGCGTCCTTACAGGAATTGCTTGAATAAGATGAGATGATAACTACAAGCCAAGCTGCAAAAGGCACTCTTTAAGGAAGAATCTGGATGAGTAATCCATGCGTTTTAATAGTTCTTATATTCCCGATGTCTTGAAGAATATACAATAAATAACTTGTATTTTTTTTTGTATAAATTCTTTCGGCTCTTACCAACTTTTGGAGCTGAACTTACTAGATTTTTTGTATACCTTGGAGGGTTTGAATTTAAAGCTATTGGAAAGAACGATGACTGATTTCATATTTCTACTTTAAGACAGTATTTTTTTAATCAAAACCTTCCGGAAAATGCTTTCCGTAAAAGGGGGAGATGTTTGACTTCCCAAAAAAAACTTCCGGAATTATTTATTCTTCTCTGTGATTTTGTTTGGAAGAACTTCCTATTTGCAGCGAAACGATCTGCTTCTCCCAACTTTCTGAAAATTCAAAGCACTATTTTGGGATGGAAAATACCAAACATACACTCAATTTTCTTCCATATCACTTCTTTTTCTATCATATTACATCACTTTATCTTCTTACCTTTCTTTTTCTTTCTATTATACCTTTTTTTATCCCAATCCACCCCATTTGAACTCCACGTTTATCATTGCTCTTGCTATTGTAAAGTTTTAATTTTTTTATCGGAAACCATTGTCAAAGGAGAAAGAAAAAAGAACGTAAGCGTTCTTATCACGTTCAATAGTCTACAAGTATAAATGTACATAACAAAACACAGTTCATAATGCAACATTGCTATTTAAAGTAGCAGTATTCAGGTTTTGAACTTGATGGTATTATTTAAGTTAAAGTAGCAAAATTCTTGGTTTGATTAGCTTTATTTTTATCTGGATAACGATTTTAACATTGTTTTACAATAACGATTTTCACGTTTTTGACTTAAAACAATTACCAAGACTGGTAAATAACACTCCCAAAACACATAAAAATAAGTATATGCATGAGATGTAAATTGCATTAAAAGATTAAAGGAAACCTAAATGACTTTGAAAGAGAAAATTTGAAGAAAATTAAAGTAATGCTGCGTAAAAATGTAAAAATAAACTAAAATAAAATTAAATTAAAAAGTGCAGGATTTTATTCATAAAGTTAAATATATTTTTTATTTTTTAACTTTTAAATAAAAGTTAAAATTAGTTATTTTTCAAAATTTTGATCTAATTTAATTCTTAAACTTTAAAAATGCATACATTTAATNATGGGCAGAGTAATAGTGGGCAAAGTTATCAGAAGCCATCAGATAGTGAAGAGAATGCAGGGCAATCTTCTGGACAGACCTGGAGACACCCTAATGTTAATATTAATAGCTCTTCGGATTGCCTGGTTGCCACGTCAGCTCATGTTTCGGGCAAAAAAACATCACCTCATAAGCTGGGATTTGATTTGCATAATTCTCCTTCCCCTCCAGCATGTAATACATCATCTGGACAGACCTGGAGACCCCCTCATGTTAATAGCCCTTCCAATTGCTTGGTTACCACGTCAGCTCATGCCTCTGATACAAAAACATCACCACATAAGCTGGGATTTGATTTGCATAATCCTCCCTCCCCTCCTGCATGTAATACATCATCTGGACAGACCTGGAGTCACCCTACTGTAAATAGTTCTTCTGATTGCTTGGTTAACACACCGGCTCATGTTTCTGGTACAAAAACATCACCACATAAGCTGGGCTTTGATTTGCATAATCCTCCTTCCCCTCCAGCTTGTAATACATCTTCTGGACAGACTTGGAGACACTTTGATATAAATATTTCTACCAATTGCTTAGTTACCTCATCAAATCATGTTTCTGGTGTAAAAACATCACCGCATAAGCTGGGATTTGATTTGCATAATCCTCCTTCCCCTCCAACTTGTAATACATCAACATGGCAGGCAATCATTGGCGAGCCCAATGATTTTGATGAATCAGTTTCAGATCTGTTGGCAGAAGTGGAAGCAATGGAGTCACTTGGTGGCTTGGAATCTCCCACTTCAATCATGAAATGTGGAGATGATTTGACTGAAGGTTCTAAAAATGATTGTCTCAGCTTTGTTGCAGACCTTGGCCCAATGCTTGATGCAGGTAAAGGTGATGCACTGAGCTCCACTGGAGATTTAAACTTACCATCTCAACCGACAGCAGCAGAGGAACCATTACGGCAAGCAGATGTACATCACCATCATCAAAGAATTTCTGATGAGCATTCTTCAAGAAGTTCTAAAGTTGAGGTGGGTACAAAAAACACAAGTGTCTCGGGTAATCAATGGGATTCAGGCTCAGAAAATTCACCCGTTGTTCCATCTCCTGCAACCTTGGGCCTGGCTATAGACACCACTTGGAGACTTGGGCTAGATAGTACACCTTTGGGGTGGAGTGGAATAGATCAAGGAAATACAAATGTGGGTTGGGGAGTAGGACAAACAGCAGTGCAGGAAACCAGGAGCTCAAATTCATACACTTCTGTAGTAACTCCAGGTTTTGGGGATAACCAAACAAGATATGGCAGTGATCGTTTTTCTGTGCCTAGAGATCGGGGTTCTCAAGGTCATGCAAGGGAATCGGGTTTTGGTAGAAGCAGAATTGCATTTAACAGGCAACCGTCGTAAGGTGTTGGGAATGGAGGCTCATATAGGCCTCTGCCCAAAGGGCAGCGAGTTTGTAAATTTTATGAAAGTGGGTACTGTAAGAAGGGGGCATCCTGTGATTACTGGCACCCATGATTTTAGATACCATTAGCACTGGTGACAGTTGTTTTTTGTAATCCTTAACATATCTGAAGTTGGCTCATTCCAATTGTTGTAATTTAACCTGACAGTATTAGTCAAGTGGCATAATTTTTTTATATGGAACTACTCTTGCTTGATCTATCTCTATTTTTTGTGACTGCTAATTACAAGTTTGTTGGCTTATGTTTTTCTTGTTCATTCAGTTTCTTCCTTTATATATATAATAAAGAGAGAGGATCAAGTTATTCCAAGAGTAATTTTTATTTCTCGTCTCTTCTTTCATTTTATTGTAATTTGCATTACGATAAAATGAAGGATGAATACTCCTTGTGTGTGTGTGTAGAGAGAGAGATAGAGATACCAAATTATTATGATTATATTCTTGAATACGAGCTCTCAATTTTTGTTAACGTGTTTGGATTGTGAAATCGTAATGGCACTAATACACTCTGAGTGTAATTCCTTGCCAATTAAGCCTCTGCGGGAAGCAGGTGAGACCATGGCATTGGAAAATAGCAGAACAAAAAAGGAAAGCAGACTGATATCTGTATATATGGGATCGCATGGTTTACTGCTGTGGCTTTCCTGTTTTGTAAACCCTCCCTTCCCATTTCTAGTAATTGCCTCGTTGAATTAGTGTTTTGTGTCTAAATTACGGCGTTATACTGCCAAGTATTTTTTTATACTTTCGTGCTTAATATCGTTCTTATTTTTATGATATGCTTTCCACGAGCATATCTTTTAAGGGCAACATATGTGAATGTTACAGTTCTTGCAATTACTTTAAGAAGAATTTAGTGATTATTATTCTCAAAAATATGATCAAGAACTTGCTTTGTCTGAAGCTTTTGATACGGCACTACTAGCCCGGAAAATAAAATATTTAAAGTCACTTTGTGAAGTTTAAGGAGTATAGATGATGGCGTTTATTTATATATATATGTGATAAGGTCTGCTTGAAGTTAAATAATTTTATGAAATTTCCATCTTAAAAGACACTGTTTAATCCGTGATATTGTGTATAAAAAATTAGTTATAATCCTTTACTATCTGGTAACTGATAATGATAATTTAAGGTAAGTCTTTTTCTCCAAAAAAAGTAAAACAATTTAGTGCAGTATAGGATTATTCAGTTTATATAAAAAACAACGTAATTTGATTTTCTGAAATTGAAAAAACATTTCAATCTAGAACAATTCTTTTATAGTTTGGATGAGTTCAAATTTGTTTTGTAGACCGTCTTGGCTAAATTTATTTATTAGCAAGGTGCGTCCTTACAGGAATTGCTTGAATAAGATGAGATGATAACTACAAGCCAAGCTGCAAAAGGCACTCTTTAAGGAAGAATCTGGATGAGTAATCCATGCGTTTTAATAGTTCTTATATTCCCGATGTCTTGAAGAATATACAATAAATAACTTGTATTTTTTTTTGTATAAATTCTTTCGGCTCTTACCAACTTTTGGAGCTGAACTTACTAGATTTTTTGTATACCTTGGAGGGTTTGAATTTAAAGCTATTGGAAAGAACGATGACTGATTTCATATTTCTACTTTAAGACAGTATTTTTTTAATCAAAACCTTCCGGAAAATGCTTTCCGTAAAAGGGGGAGATGTTTGACTTCCCAAAAAAAACTTCCGGAATTATTTATTCTTCTCTGTGATTTTGTTTGGAAGAACTTCCTATTTGCAGCGAAACGATCTGCTTCTCCCAACTTTCTGAAAATTCAAAGCACTATTTTGGGATGGAAAATACCAAACATACACTCAATTTTCTTCCATATCACTTCTTTTTCTATCATATTACATCACTTTATCTTCTTACCTTTCTTTTTCTTTCTATTATACCTTTTTTTATCCCAATCCACCCCATTTGAACTCCACGTTTATCATTGCTCTTGCTATTGTAAAGTTTTAATTTTTTTATCGGAAACCATTGTCAAAGGAGAAAGAAAAAAGAACGTAAGCGTTCTTATCACGTTCAATAGTCTACAAGTATAAATGTACATAACAAAACACAGTTCATAATGCAACATTGCTATTTAAAGTAGCAGTATTCAGGTTTTGAACTTGATGGTATTATTTAAGTTAAAGTAGCAAAATTCTTGGTTTGATTAGCTTTATTTTTATCTGGATAACGATTTTAACATTGTTTTACAATAACGATTTTCACGTTTTTGACTTAAAACAATTACCAAGACTGGTAAATAACACTCCCAAAACACATAAAAATAAGTATATGCATGAGATGTAAATTGCATTAAAAGATTAAAGGAAACCTAAATGACTTTGAAAGAGAAAATTTGAAGAAAATTAAAGTAATGCTGCGTAAAAATGTAAAAATAAACTAAAATAAAATTAAATTAAAAAGTGCAGGATTTTATTCATAAAGTTAAATATATTTTTTATTTTTTAACTTTTAAATAAAAGTTAAAATTAGTTATTTTTCAAAATTTTGATCTAATTTAATTCTTAAACTTTAAAAATGCATACATTTAATTTAATTTAAGTTATTTATATTGTTTGATAAAAAAAATTAATTAAGAAACAAATCCAAAATTTTAAATAATTAATAAAATTTGATTAATTAAGAAACTAAATAGTTTTAAAAAATTTAACTTTAAATGTTTTTAAAAGAAACTATTCTAATTTATTTAAATAAAAACATATTTTGTTTTATAAACGTAATTTTTTAAAACGGAAGATAGAACCACACGGTAAACATAGTACTTTTAACTGAAGAAATGGTCACAGGTTATGATTTTAGTGATAATCTTTGTTTAGGATTTACTATACATAAGAAGTGTGCTTTTCGTTTGCATTGATACTTGTGAGTTCAATAACTATCAGTAACTTCAGTCACATGTAATTTTGAACGTGTTTCAGTCAAATTCTTTATCACTTTTAGTACTTAAGACATAGTAATTTTTATTCACTTGTCATTGTCAACATTCTCGAAATTCTCACATCTCAACCTCTCTTAGCTTACCATTTCTTTTACAAAATTAAACCATAAATTTCCGTTATATTCAAATTTAAGTCTAATTAAATTGGTGTTTTAACACTTAAAAAAATTACCCATATAAAAGAACGCACTTGAATGTAAACATTGTTTTTTAAATGCCCCCAAGTACAAGTTGTGTTTTTTTAGGCTTTTTACATGTTTTGAAATATAATACAAGGAAAATCATAAATACACAAGAAAATGTATATATGTAAGAAAAATATAATGATTTTGTCACACCAAATTACTTTAACATTCATGGATATTATTTTTTGTTGTTTTTTTTATTTTGATTTGTTTATAATATACAGTTCGCTTTTTATTAATTATTCTATAACAAATGTATGTAAGATAATGTAACATTTCTGAATTACGTTACTGTTTGAAAAAAATAAGTTTGGATTTTAAAAAGATGATATATTTTGAAAATATTTTTTTAATAATATTTAATATTATCTATATGTCATTCGGTATTGGTCCAAAATTATTTCATAATCAATAATAATAATTATAAAATCAATAGAACTAATCACACAATAATATATAAATGATGTTAAAATAAAATTAAAAAAATATTGTGAAAGTATTATTGTCTTTTAAAAAAAAAGGGAAGAAAGGGAAAAATAGAAAGAGAAAAGAAGGTGTTTGAGACTTGTTGACGGTAAAAAATGAAATGACTGGGACCATTCTAAATACCAAGTAAATGTTTACCTAACTTTGATTCCAACCCATAACAAATTGCATTTATGTTAGAATTGAAAAAGGGCATCCAACATCAATAACACAAACATCATGCCAATTAGGATAATGCCTAATTGCTTTATACTCAAAGAGGTACAATTTCAAGTTTAGGAGATTAATCAACGGATTCAGATTTTTAAACATAATTCTTTTTTTTCATGTCATTACTTAAAGGCCATCCATAACGAGAGGAATTAAAAATATAAATGGAGAAAATTTAGAAATTAAAATCACTCAGATATTTATTAAAAATAAAATGAAAATTTCTAAAATTAAGAAATTAAAAACATGTTTTGGTCTAAAAAGGTTCAGAAAATAAATTAGGCAAAAAAATTGTTAAAAGAATAGTAAAAGAGTAATGTCAGTCAACTGCATTGAGAGAAAAATTAATATAATTTACCTCGTCAAATTCAAATATTAGTTTTACCAGCAAATAATATGGTAACAATTTAAGACTGTGTCGTTTTAAGGGAATTCATGTTTACACAGTGTGATTTGCGAGCGAGGATTGAAGGTTTCATACGTGTTCGTTTGGTTATTATCGACCACGGAAAGCGATGAATTTGCAGGAATGCACGATTTGGATATCTTCACACAAGTGAGATGATTTGCGTGATTGTGATCATATTTACATATTTGCCCTGATACTTTTTCTAAAATACCTTATACGTAATAACATAAAATAATATAGGCATGTGTGTGGTGGTCTCCCAGTGTTGAAGACGAAGAAGGGTGGTGTTGTGTTTAGAGGGAAGCAAATGTTCTGGGTGGGAAGATTGAAGCATGCGGTTGAAGAGGAAGAACAAAACTTGTGTGTATTCGGTTACGGTTCAGAGTTGTGGGATTTCGATGAACGAAGTGAAAATTGAGGAGTGCTGTAATCGGTATTTGTGGGTGTAACCGGTTAGCTGAGGCATGTGAAAAGGAAGTCAGTTGCGTATTCGGTTACGCAGTCACGGTACCATGTAATGAAAATATTCTCTATTAATCGCATTAACAAACTTATGTAAATATAATTACATGTAATGCAAAATATTCTCTATAATTAAAAATGGTTTTATAACTAATATAAAATTATAAGAAGACTTGTGCTTTTATACGTAAATACATCTATAAATAATTATAAGTGATAATGTATATTTAAGGCCTGTGTTAATTTTTAATGACATGATTAATTAAACGTGTGTTTTCACATATATATATATATATATATATAGTAATATATATATATATATATATATATATAATATATGATTTGCAATTTTATTTTTAAGGGTTTTTTTTAAGTTTAACCATTTTTAATCAAAATGTATGAGTTTAACTATGAACATTCAAGATCATAATTTATTCATAACAGTGCTTCGGACTTTTTATTCTGCATCCATCCCATTACAAG